AAAATATGTGAACAAAGAATTCATATTGACAAGACATGGTAACACTGGCGGGAGAGGGGAGGAGGGGTTAAGGGAGGATTTCAAGACGTCTGCCCGCCAGCCATTATACATAAGTATACATGATTACAATATAAAGTATACCTATATACAACATGTGTATCAAAACTATGTGGTATACATCTCACAATGCCAAAATCTAATTTAATGTTAGAGGACAATTTAATGAACAATAATGAAAGGGAAATTACACAGTATACATGACAGTAATACATCCGAGACCTAAATTTATACATTCTCCATCATAGTTCACATAATATTTCCTATACAGCATTATGTAGCATTCCATAATATAAGCATATACGGATGTTTTTCAAGCTACATTACATTAGGCTACTGCTAATCACTAGACCTCTAATATTTATTTATTTATTTATTTATGCATATACAAGAATGTACATAAGGAATGTGAGGATACAAATATGGTAATTACAGTCTTGTAAAGCCACTAGCACGCGCAGCGTTTCGGGCAGGTCCTTAATCTAAGAAAATTTTAAGGAGGTAAATACTTGCAAAAATTATAGACAAAAAAATTATAACAGATTACATGAAATGAAAAAAAAGATGAGAGAAAATTGTAGGTACAGTATATTAAAGCACATAGGTAGCTAAGATTGATTGCAATGACAGCTTGAATGGTAGTTGACAAAAAAATTGGTAGGCACAATACAGCAGAAACAATATAAGATTGATTGCAATGACAGCTTGAATGGTAGTTGACAAAAATTGGTAGTCACAATACAGCATATGGCTAGCACATAAAAAAAGACAGCAATGAACACAATGATAAGGTTGTTTGATATAACATAAAAATTAGGAGATTGGGTAACACTAGGTACAGAGCAAATTTAAAGCTCAGTGTAGGAAACTAAGAAGATGAAGTTAGGAACTTTTTGGTTTTGCTTTTAAATAAGGCAAAAGTTTTACAGTTTTTCAATTCACTAGGGAGTGAGTTCCATAGACTAGGTCCCTTAATTTGCATAGAGTGTTTACACAGATTAAGTTTGACCCTGGGGATATCAAAGAGATATTTATTTCTGGTGTGGTGATAATGGGTCCTATTACATCTGTCCAGGGAGAGTTTCAGAGCATGGTTTGCATTTAAGAACAGGGTTTTGTAAATGTAGTTGACACAAGAGAATGTGTGGAGGGAGTTAATATTTAGCAAGTTTAGGGATTTAAACAAGGGAGCTGAGTGTTGTCTGAAAGCAGAGTTAGTTATTATTCTGATAGCAGATTTTTGCTGTGTGATGATGGGCTTAAGGTGGTTTGCAGTGGTAGACCCCCATGCACAGATACCATAATTAAGATAGGGGTAGATTAGTGCATAATATAGTGAGAGGAGAGCAGAGTTAGGAACATAATATCTGATTTTGGAGAGTATACCAACTGTCTTAGAGACTTTCTTAGTTATGTGTTGAATGTGGGTGCTGAAGTTGAGTCTCTTGTATATATTCACAAATACATGGCAAGGACTTATGGTACAGATATATAATATACAAAGATATATGGGAAATACATTGGCAATACACATTTAATACTAGTGTGTTGTCGAAAAAAGAATAACTACATATATTAATATTCGTGATACTAGGCTAATCAGCCAAGACATCACTATACAGTTTGAGCACATCATACACCAGCTACAGTATGATCATACTGGGGTATGTGTGGTCATAACACCACCTCACACCCATATGGTAATATCACAACACACCATGGTCCAGTATGGCAATATCACAACACACCATGGACCAGTATGGTAATATCACAACACACCACGGACCAGTATGGTAATATCATAACACACCATGGACCAGTATGGTAATATCACAACACACCGTGGATCAGTATGGTAATATCACAACACACCATGGACGATTATGGTAATATCACAACACACCATGGACCAGTATGGTAATATCACAACACACCATGGTCCAGTATGGTAATATCACAACACATCATGGTCCAGTATGGTAATATCACAACACACCATGGTCCAGTATGGTAATATCACAACACACCATGGTCCAGTATGGTAATATCACAACACACCATGGTCCAGTATGGTAATATCACAACACACCATGGTCCAGTATGGTAATATCACAACACACCATGGTCCAGTATGGTAATATCACAACACACCATGGTCCAGTATGGTAATATCACAACACACCATGGTCCAGTATGGTAATATCACAACACACCATGGTCCAGTATGGTAATATCACAACACACCATGGTCCAGTATGGTAATATCACAACACACCATGGTCCAGTATGGTAATATCACAACACACCATGGTCCAGTATGGTAATATCACAACACACCATGGTCCAGTATGGTAATATCACAACACACCATGGACCAGTATGGTAATATCACAACACACCATGGTCCAGTATGGTAATATCACAACACACCATGGTCCAGTATGGTAATATCACAACACACCATGGTCCAGTATGGTAATATCACAACACACCCATGTGATAGTGAAGTGATGGTAGTATAGCAGTGGTAGTGAGGTGATGGTGATTTGACAGTGATGGTGATACAGTAGTGATGGTGAGGTAGTGATGCTGTAGCAGTGATAGTGATATATCAGTGAATATAAGGAGGAAATATATCAGTGTGAGGTGATAATGCAGAGAAAGTGAAATGATGTTGGTGTAGCAGTGATAGTGTTATGTGATAGTGAGCTGTTGGTGATATAACAGTGACAACAGCTGTCATATAGTGATACCAACAATTTGTTACTCAACATGGTCAGTATATGACCCTAAGTGTGGGACCTGGGGTGATGGTGATATATGGAGGTGATAGTGATACAGCAATGATAGGTTGCAGTATTGAGAAAATATAGCATTGATGGTGATACAGCCGTGATTGTCAGGTATATGATACCAAAGTATAAATACCAAAGTGTTAAATACCAAAGATAGTGAAGTTATGATGATAGAGTGATAAAGGTGTGTCCTTAAATTACATTGGCATCAAAACACGCAGTCAATGGTGATGCAGGAGTGATAGTGATGATGGTGGTACAGTGAACTAGAGTGGCAGCACAACACCACAGTAGTGATGGTGATGGTACAGTGAACTAGAGTGGCAGCACAACACCACAGTAGTGATGGTGATGGTACAGTGAACTAGAGTGGCAGCACAACACCACAGTAGTGATGGTACAGTGAACTAGAGTGGCAACACAACACCACAGTAGTGATGGTGATGGTACAGTGAACTAGAGTGGCAGCACAACACCACAGTAGTGATGGTACAGTGAACTAGAGTGGCAGCACAACACCACATTAGTGATGGTGATGGTACAGTGAACTAGAGTGGCAGCACACCACCACATTAGTGATGGTGATGGTACAGTGAACTAGAGTGGCAGCACAACACCACAGTAGTGATGGTGATGGTACAGTGAACTAGAGTTGCAGCACAACACCACAGTAGTGATGGTACAGTGAACTAGAGTGGCAGCACAACACCACAGTAGTGATGGTGATGGTACAGTGAACTAGAGGGGCAGCACAACACCACAGTAGTGATGGTGACGGTACAGTGAACTAGAGTGGCAGCACAACACCACAGTAGTGATGGTGGTGGTACAGTGAAGTAGAGGGGCAGCACAACACCACAGTAGTGATGGTGATTGGTACAGTGAACTAGAGTGGCAGCACTAAATCACAGTTGTGATAGTGATGGAACAGTGAACTAGAGTCGCAGCACTACACCCCATTAGTAATGGTGATGGTACAGTGAAGCAAAGTGGCAGCACAACACCACAGTAGTGATAGTGAAGGTACAGTGACCTAGAGTGGCAGCACAACACCACAGTAATGATGGTGATGGTACAGTGAACTAGAGTGGCAGCACAACACCACAGTAGTGATGGTGATGGTACAGTGAACTAGAGTGGCAGCACAACACCACAGTAGTGATAGTACAGTGAAGCAGAATGGCAACACAACACCAAAGTAGTGATAATGATGGTACAGTGACCTAGAGTGGCAGCACAACCCTTCAATAGTGATGGTGATGGTACAGTGAACTAGAGTGGCAGCACAACACAGTAGTGATGGTGATGGTACAGTGAACTAGAGTGGCAGCACAACACCACAGCAGTGATGGTGGTGGTACAATGAACTAGAGTGGCAGCACAACACCACAGTAGTGATGGTGATAGTACAGTGAACTAGAGTGGCAGCACAACACCACAGTAGTGATGGTGGTGGTACAGTGAACTAGAGTGGCAGCACAACACCACAGTCCACAACAGTCACCTCCCTAATGTTACTGTGGTTGACTGCTGCCCTCACCACATCCAGGCCGTTCACCACATCACCGAAGACATATGGCCACTGGCGACCACCCTGGCGGTCCCTGGTGGTGATGCCGAACTGGGCACACCTGGAACCCTCCGGCCCACCGATGGCACACACAACTCCTGCCTGGCCTGACTCCCGGTACTGCCCCTGGAGGTCAGGCAGCAGTGGGGCTCCTCCCTTACCATCATTACTCTCGTAGTCTCCGCCCCCCACATACTCCCCCGGCCCACCCTTGTACTTCACGTTCAACAGTTTAGTGTTGCGGTAGGTGTGGCCCCGCTGGCCCGTACACAACAACACAAACTGTCTGGCCAGCGGAGTGTCAGGGGTCAGCCGGATGGTGACCCGCCCTCTTGTTGACCCCGCCCACCCGAGGTCAAGGAACGCCAGGGTGCAGGAGGGTTCCAGCACGCCCACAACCTCACTCTCCTGCAGAAAATGAAATAAATCATGCTGATAACTGTATAACAAAATGTTATCATATTAGTAATCATAAATCAATAAGTCAGTAATGTAAGACTAGTATGTGTAATACAGTAACCTGGAGGGCGTGGGCGTGGGCGGGCGTGGGCTGACGCAGGAGTGGGTGGAGGTACAGCTGTCCGTCTTGTAGAGTTATCCTGGCGGAGCGACGGCCATCTTGGTCTTCCTGGACGGCCAACACCCGGCCAGCCTCCACCAGCCTCTTGACGGCCACCACCCGGCCAGCCTCCACCAGCCTCTTGATGGGCTCACTCATCCTGCAGAGGTCCTCAACCTGTGGACAGTGTAAGCCCCATTATCACCTGTGGACAGTGTCAGCACCATTATGACCTGTGGTCAATGTCAGCCCCATTATGACCTGTGGTTAGTGTCAGCCCCATTATCACCTGTGGACAGTGTCAGCACCATTATCACCTGTGGTCAATGTCAGCCCCATTATGACCTGTGGTTAGTGTCAGCCCCATTATCACCTTTAGTCAGTGAGAGACCCATTACCAGTCAACCACATCTACCATATTCACCACAAACAGCACATTACACTACACATAAACTGAAGCCAGTGAAGGAAAGCACCTACTGGCAAAGGGTTGGTGCTGGACCTATAGCTCCAGCCCCCCCTCTACTGGCAGGCGGTTGGTGCTGGACCTGTAGCTCCAGCCCCCCTCTACTGGCAGAGAGTTGGTGCTGGACCTGTAGCTCCAGCCCCCCTCCCCTAGTGGCAGAGGGTTGGTGCTGAACCTGTAGCTCCAGCACCCCTCTACTGGCAGGGGGTTGGTGCTGAACCTGAAGCTCCATCCCCCCTCTACTGGTACGGGGTTGGTGCTGGACCTGTAGCACCAGCCCCCTCTACTGGCAGGGGGTTGGTGCTAGACCTGTAGTTCCAGCCCCCCTTTACTGGCTGGGGGTTGAAGCTGGACCTGTAGCACCAGCCCCCCTCTACTGGAAGTGGGTTGATGCTGCACCTGTAGTTCTAGCCACCCTTTACTGGCAGGGGGTTGATGCTGGACCTGTAGCTCCAGCCCCCCTCTACTGGCAGGGGGTAGGTGTTGGGCATGTAGCTCCCGCCCCCCTATACTAGCATGGGGTAGGTGCTGGACCTGTAGCTCCAGCCCCCTTCTACTGGTAAGGGGTCGGTGCTTGACCTGTAGCTCCAGCCCCCCTCTACTGGCAGTGGGTTGGTGCTGGACCTGTAGCTTCAGCCCCCCTCAACTGGCAGGGGGTAGGTGCTTGACCTGTAGCTCCAGCCCCCCTCTACTGGCAGTGCTTTGGAGCTGGACCTGTAGCTCGAGCCCCTCTATACTGGCAGGGGGTTGGTGCTGGGCCTGTAACTCCAACCCCCCCCCTCCCTCAATTGGCAGAGGGAGGTTGGTGCTGGACCTGTAGCTCCAGCCCTTCCTCAACTGGCATAGGGTTGGTGTTGGACCTGTAGCTCCAGACCCCCTCTATTGGCATGGGGTTGGTGCTGGACCTGTAGCTTCAGCCCCCCTCTACTGGCAGGGGGTTGATGCTGGAGCTGTAGTTCCAGCCCCCCCCTCTACTGGATGGGGTTGGTGCTGGACCCATAGCTTCAGCCCCCTTCTACTGGCACGAGGTTGGTGCTGGACCTGTAGCTCCAGCCCCCCTCTACTGACAGGGGGGTTGGTGCTGAACCTGAAGCTCCAGCCCCCCTCTACTAGCAGGGGGTTGGTGCTGGACCTGTAACTCCAGCCCCCCTCTACTAGCAGGGGGTTGGTGCTGGACCTGTAGCTCCAGCGTCCCCTCTACTGGCAGGGGGTTGGTGCTGGCCCTGTAACTCCAGGCCCCCTCTACTGGCATGGAGTTGGTGGTGGACCTGTAACTCCAGCCCCCCTCTAATGGCAGGGGGATGGTGCTGGACCTGCAGCTCCAGCCCCCCTCCCCTAGTGGCAGAGGGTTGGTGCTGAACCTGTAGCTCCAGCCCCCCCTCTACTGGCAGGGGGTTGGTGCTGAACCTGAAGCTCCATCCCCCCCCCTCTACTGGTACGGGGTTAGTGCTGGACCTGTAGCACCAGCCCCCTCTACTGGCAGGGGGTTGGTGCTGGACCTGTAGCGCCAGCCCCCCTCTACTGGCAGGGGGTTGGTAATGGACCTGTAGCTCCACCCCCCTCTACTGGCAGGGGGATGGTGCTGGACCTGTAGCTCCAGCCCCCCCTCTACTGGCAGTGGGTTGGTGCTGGACCTGAAGCTCCACCCCCCCTCTACTGGCAGGGGGTTGGTGTTGGACCTGTAGCTCCAGCCCCCCCTCTACTGGCATTGGGTAGGTGCTGGACCTGTAGCCCAGCCCCCTTCTACTGGCAAGGGGTTGGTGCTTGACCCGTAGCTCCAGACCCCCTCTATTGGCATGGGGTTGGTGCTGGACCTGTAGCTTCAGCCCCCCTCTACTGGCAGGGGGTTGATGCTGGAGCTGTAGTTCCAGCCCCCCACCCCTCTACTGGATGGGGTTGGTGCTGGACCCATAGCTTCAGCCCCCTTCTACTGGCACGAGGTTGGTGCTGGACATGTAGCTCCAGCCCCCCTCTACTGACAGGGGGGTTGGTGCTGAACCTGAAGCTCGAGCCCCCCACCTCTACTGGCAGGGGGATCGTGCTGGACATGTAGCTCCAGCCCCCCTCTACTGGCATGGGGTTGGTGCTGGACCTGTAATTCCAGCCCTCCTCTACTAGCAGGGGGTTGGTGCTGGACCTGTAACTCCAGCCCCCCTCTACTAGCAGGGGGTTGGTGCTGGACCTGTAGCTCCAGCGTCCCCTCTACTGGCAGGGGGTTGGTGCTGGCCCTGTAACTCCAGGCCCCCTCTACTGGCATGGAGTTGGTGGTGGACCTGTAACTCCAGCCCCCCTCTAATGGCAGGGGGATGGTGCTGGACCTGTAGCTCCAGCCCCCCTCTACTGGCAGGGGGTTGGTAATGGACCTGTAGCTCCCCCCCCCCTCTACTGGCAGGGGGATGGTGCTGGACCTGTAGCTCCAGCCCCCCCTCTACTGGCAGTGGGTTGGTGCTGGACCTGAAGCTCCACCCCCCCTCTACTGGCAGGGGGTTGGTGTTGGACCTGTAGCTCCAGCCCCCCTTCTACTGGCATTGGGTAGGTGCTGGACCTGTAGCCCAGCCCCCTTCTACTGGCAAGGGGTTGGTGCTTGACCCGTAGCTCCAGCCCCCCTCTACTGGCAGTGGGTTGGTGCTGGACCTGTAGCTCCAGCCCCCCTCTACTGGCAGGGTGTTGGTGCTGGACCAGTAGCTCCAGATCCCCCACCCGTCTACTGGATGGGGTTGGTGCTGGACCTGTAGCTTCAGCCCCCCTCTACTGACAGGGGGGTTGGTGCTGGACCTGAAGCTCGAGCCCCCCCCCTCTACTGGCAGGGGGGATCGTGCTGGACATGTAGCTCCAGCCCCCCTCTACTGGCATGGGGTTGGTGCTGGACCTGTAACTCCAGCCCCCCTCTACTGGCAGGGGGATTGGGGCTGGACCTGTAGCTCCAGCCCCCCTCTAGTGGCAGGGGGTTGGTGATGGGCCTGTAGCTCCAGCCCCCCTCTACTGGCAGGGGGTTGATGCTGGACCTGTAGTTCCAGCCCCCCCCCCTCTACAGGATGGGGTTGGTGCTGGACCTGTAGCTTCAGCCCCCTTCTACTGGCATGGGGTTGGTGCTGGACCTGTAACTCCAGCCCCCCTCTACTGGCAGGGGGGTTGGGGCTGGACCTGTAGTTCCAGCCCACCTCTACTGGCAAGGGGTTTGTGCTGGACCTGTAGCCCCAGGCCCCCTCTACTGGCAAGGGGTTCGTGCTGGATTTGTAGCTTCAGCGTCCCCCCCTCTACAGGCAGGGGGTTGGTGCTGGACCTGTAGCTCCAGCGTCTCTCTACTGGCAGAGGGTTGGTGCTGGACCTGTAACTCCAGCCCCCCTCTACTGGCATGGAGTTGGTGCTGGACCTGTAACTCCAGCCCCCTCTACTGGCAGAGAGTTGGTGCTGGACCTGTAGCTCCAGCCCCCCTTACCTAGTGGCAGAGGGTTGGTGCTAAACCTATAGCTCCAGCCTCCCTCTACTGGCAGGGGGTTGGTGCTGAACCTGAAGCTCCTTCCCCCTCTCTACTGGTACGGGGTTGGTGCTGGACCTGTAGCACCAGCCCCCTCTACTGGCAGGGGGTTGGTGCTGGACCTGTAGCTCCAGCACCCCTCTACTGGCAGGAGGTTGGTGCTAGACCTGTAGCTCCAGCCCCCCTCTACTGGCTTGGGGTTGAAGCTGGACCTGTAGCGCCAGCCCCCCTCTACTGGCAGGGGGTTGGTGCTGGACCTGTAGCTCCAGCCCCCCCTCTACTGGCAGTGGGTTGGTGCTGGACCTGAAGCTCCAGCCCCCCTCTACTGGAAGTGGGTTGGTGCTGCACCTGTAGCTCCAGCCCCCCTCTACTGGCAGGGGGTTCGTGCTGGATTTGTAGCTTCAGCCCCCCCCTCCCTCTACTGACAGTGGGTTGGTGCTGGACGTGTAGCTCCAGCACCCCCCCCCCCACTACAGGCAGGGGGTTGGTGCTGGACCTGTAGCTCCAGCCCCCCTCTACTGGCAGTGGGTTGGTGCTGGACCTGAAGCTCCAGCCCCCCTCTACTGGAAGTGGGTTGGTGCTGCACCTGTGTAGCTGGATTTGTAGCTCCAGCCCCCCCCTCTACTGGCAGGGGGTTGGTGCTGGACCTGTAGCTCCAGCCCCCCTCTACTGGCAGGGGGTTGGTGCTGGACCTGTAGCTCCAGTGGTGCTGGACCTGTAGCTCCTGCCCCCCTCTACTGGCAGGGGGTTGGTGCTGGACCTGTAGCTCCAGCCCCCCTCTACTGGCAGGGGGTTGTGCTGGACCTGTAGCTCCAGCCCCCCTCTACTGGCAGGGGGTTGGTGCTGGTCCTGTAGCTCCAGCCCCCCTCTACTGGCAGGGGGTTGGTGCTGGACCTGTAGCTCCAGGGCATGGGGTTGGTGCTGGACCTGTAGCTCCAGCCCCCCCCCCTCTACTGGCAGGGGGTTGGTGCTGGACCTGTAGCTCCAGCCCCCCTCTACCTGTGGCACTGGCAAGGGGTTGGTGCTGGACCTGTAGCTCCTGGCCCCCTCTACAGGCAGGGGGTTGGTGCTGGACCTGTAGCTCCTGCCCCCCTCTACTAGCAGGAAGTGGTGCTGGACCTGTAGCTCGTGCCCCCCTCTACTGGCCGGGGGTTGGATCTGGACCTGTAGCTGCAGCCCCCCCTCTACTGGCAGGGGGTTGGTCCGGGACCTGCAAATCCAGCCCCCTCTACT